AAAAAAAAAGTATTTAATTTATTTAAAAACTGAAATCACAGCTATTTGTGTTAAGGTTATTTTCACAAACTATAAATTTGAGTTTTGCTTGTTATGCCACCATCAGTTTAAATGTTGTAGTGTAGCTGTTGTTCCTGCTGGTCTAAGTTAATAACTTTTTAAAGGGGTATAATACCTGAATGAAGGAAATGTCAGTGTCTGAAAACTAACTATTTTTTTCAGATGTTCCTCATTATCCTGCTTTAAAAGAGTTAATGTGAAACCTGCCTATTATGGGCATTTCTTTACTGACTACTTTGAAGGCTAAACCGAAGAGTTTCAGATCCAGATCTAGAAGAGAATGTTACTGCTTAAAGGGGATTTATGTAGAACCTGGGTGCCCAAATCCACAGTTGCGATCCTGAAAATCTCTGCTGTTTAACATTGAAGACCAAAGGACCATACAGATATTTATTTAACTTCTAAAGCTCCCCACATGACTGTAACTGTGTATGTACATCCTTAGAATTGCCACTGTCTTGGAAGGACTTGGCCCCTTAGCAGCTAACTTAAGCAGTGAACTGATTGGGAACGTAGGCATTCCTCTGCCCATACAGCAGGAGGACCAGCGCTTCACTATTTTGCAAAGTATGTCTTACAAACTAACATGAATGACCTTGCTAGAAGATAGAATAATGGCCTGCACTTTAAAACATGCTAAAAGAAACGCTTTACCTCTGCTTTTCCAACTGTGTGTGTACAGTAGTGATTAGAAGGTGTCATTTAGGAATTTAATTTACTTAGCATTTTGTTATTTGTTAAGTCTGGATGAACAATCCAGAATGTTGTTTGGCAAGTGAGCACTGTAAGAAAGTAGTCAGGCTGTTTCCCAGCTCTGCTGTCTGGTGCTGCCTTCTTCATGGTAGGATACTATCATTGTGGCTATTTATGCACCAATATACATAGGTACTCCCATAGCTGTATCCTGACTGTTCTAACCAGCATGCATATGGGAGAGAAGGCTAAAGATGAGAGCATAACTGTATTTTACGGGTGTGTTTAAAAAAAAAAAAAAAAGACAGGCTTCCTTCAGCTTTTTCAAAGGGAAGGGTAAACAGGCATCTCCAAGACTGTCAATTATAGATGTCAAAGGGTAATACTTCAAATCCTGTCGAGGGACAAGATTTAAGAGTGTCTCCTCCTTTTCCCTGTGTTTCATATTCTCTTGTGATAAATATTGCTTTGGCTACTTCGGTATCTTCCCATTCTCGGTGCACTCCATAGGCTGCCTTGGCATTTTCCACAAAGTTTGGGTTACAGTGGCAGAAGCAGGTTGTAATTAACCTACATGGGTCTGACTCTTATTTTTCTACACACTGGCCGTCATTTTCTGACATGTCAGAGTACCTTATTTTCCTCTGTCATCCTTTCTCCTTTGTACCGCTGCTGTTAGTACTATGGCATGTTCCAGTGTGGGAATGACTGAATGATTTATTTTTGACTGTTACGCTTTGGTTTTTTTAATAGACGTTAAGTATATGATTTTTTTTTTTTAAATCCGAGCTCTAGAACATTATCATCTTCAAAAAAGGGGAAAGGAAAAAAAAAAAAACCCAACTAGAGAAGATTTAGTTTTAATATTTTATCAGAGATGTGAGGTTTTTGTGTCCTGATTCTGTAATTTTCTCCCCTTGAAGGGAAAAGTTGTTGAAACTGGAGACGATGGTAAAAATTGAAATGCAATGTTAAAACTAGGGTTTCTTGTCTGCTAGTGGTAAAATGAATCTCTTAGTGTTGTTATGGCTATCCACCATCACAGTTATTTTTCTCAGGCTGCCAAATGTAAAATGTTAGTAGAGAATGTATAGCCCTATAGTAGAATTTACACAACAGCTCACAGAGCTTTGCTAAAAAGTTTTTCCTTATGCATCAGGACCCAGGAAACATGAAGTCCAAATGCCTTCACACACATATCAGTGGTAGGATATTTTTCTGAACTTGGTCCTGTAGTGCAATAGATTTTACCTTTAAAGAGAGCAAATGTCAGCTTGTACAGTTAAAACTCCCAATATTCGACCTGAATATAATAAGCAAATAATTTGAGAAGTTCATTGCTCTTTTTATGTTTATTTTTTATCCAGACACTGCTTAATCTATTGTCTTGAAAAATGTTACTGTTTAGGGATGTGTTCTGTGAAACTTGATGCTTTAGGTTGTGACTTTATCAGTGTCACTCTATATTAGTGTTCGCTTAGCAGTTTTGTGGAAAAAAACACCGGCTCAGCAGTTTGGCATGTAACGTTGCCTATTAAAGCTG